TTGTTTGTTTGTTTGTTTGTTTGTTTGTTTGTTTGTTCAATCAATCAATCAATCAATCAATTTATATGGCCACCCATCTCAGACAAGTAACTCTAGGCAGCAAACAATCATAAAATCAATTAAAACCAAATTACAAGCACAATACAAAAGAAAAATATATACAGCAGCCAAGAAAAATGATTAGTTCTTCCAAAAAGTCATCTCATGTTAGTATTAGCAGACCTACACTCTTTCCATCATCCACAGTTGCTAAAATATTGCAAAAAACTTGGGCTGTTCCTATGACATCTGAGATACGGATGGAGCACTTCATATTCTGGGGTCAAGAAGATTTCTCCAGCGTCCCAACCTGGGCATGACCTAGTGATTAACTCCACCCTAAGATAAACAAGACTTATCTCAGAATTTCATACCTCCTGACAGTAACAATACTACAACTCTCAGCCTCGATGCCCTAACATATCCTAAGAAGTTGGCTTCTTTCCAATGACTCACACTGCATAGGGCTGAGAACTTGGGTTCCTCAAACTCTAGAGCAGTGTTTCTCAACCTTGGCAGTTTTAAGATATGTTGATTTCAACTCCCAGAATTCCCCAGCCAGCATGGCTGGCTGGGAAATTCTGGAAGTTGAAGTTTACATATCTTAAACTTGCCAAGGTTGAGAAACACTGAATGAAAGCATGGATTGTGCCACATTGCTAAGATTGAGAAACACTGCTCTAGAGTCTTCTGGTATAGGCATCGGTGGGGGAAGCAAGGGGAAGCTTGCGATAAAGCATGATGTTATGGTGCAAATTCCATCCCTTACATACTTGCATGCAACATCAATATGAAAGGATGGAGCTTCAATCTGGCTGAAGAACACACCCTTGTTGCATTGATGGCTTCGATGCAAGAGCTAGGCAAGTACAGAGCAGAACAAGCAGGCCTTGCAACTAAGCAGGACCAATGCTAAGAACTACAACAACAATTATAATATTATTTTAAAATAATCGTTTTAATTCTATGAGTTATATGACTAAAGATAAGAACAAACTAAAAACATAGAAATGTTTATTCTTTGTCCTTGGCACAGCCACTGCAAAACTGGATGGGAGACAGACCAAACATGAGCGTCCTTGACAGATCATGGTCAAGCATGGTTTGCAGGATCATCTTGGGTGCATTTCCTAGACAAGCACTTAGCCAGGGTCATATGAACACAGATGCAGTGCCAATTCTTTGGTCCATCTGCTTAGCCTTCCCCAACCTGATCCACCCCTCTTCCATGCTGAACTGCAACTCATTTTATCCTTAGCCAGCATGTATGATGACCATGTTATCTGGGTATTATGGAAGTTGTAATTAGTGCACTGGGAGAACCCACAGAGAGAGCCGATTAATTTTCACATAAACTGAGTTCAACTCTTGTAACTGTTAGAAGATGCAGATGACTTACGTTGCTTGAAAACCTCCAGAGCTCTTCTGAGGGTGCTAAAATGAAAGGAAAACAGAGACAGTGCACACCCAGTCAGAGGTTGAGCAATCATGAAATTGTGTTGGTATCACCGAAAGGCAAAGAACAAGACTTCCTTAGGGACTTCCACAAATTAGTCCAATTTCAACACCTGATTAGGCAAGTTATGAAACCAAAACATAGGTATACAGTCAGATACATTTCTGAACTTCTCTTTCTTCATTGCTAATTACTTTTTTGGGTGGCCGAGCAAACATTTCTCAATCAGCAGCTCATGGATACATTGATATCCAAAATGCAAAATCCAGAAGGCACACACAGATAGTCCTTGAATTACAATCACAATGGGGACCAAAAAATTCATCATTAAGTGGTGCAGTTGTTAAGTGAGGCATCATGTGACCACACCTGATTTTAAGATCTTTTTTTGCCATGGTTGTTAAGCAAATCACAGGATTCCCCATTGACTTTGCTTGTCAGAAGCCAGCTGGGAAGGTTGCAAATGGCGATCACGTGACCCTGGGACACTGCAACCATCATAAATACATGCTGGTTGCCAAGCGCCCAAATTTTTATCACGTGACCGCGGAGACACTGCAACAGTCGTAAGTGCAAGGAGCGGTTGTAAGTCGAGGACTACCTGCATTTAATTCATGCAGGGCAGAATCCAATGGGAAGAAGGAAACCTCATGTGCCTCATCTCCAAGGCCAAGTTCACACAATGCACTAACCCAGAGCACATGAGTCATATACCACACCAGCTGAGTTCCCACAATATGCTAAGCCACGAAGAAGCAAACCACATTTTAATTTCATACATTGGGTGAAACCAGCAAATGGCTTGTGAAACAAATGTGGGAACCCAGTCTGGGTCTTGAAGGATGAAAGGTGAAGCAAGTTTCTCTTTAAGGTAATGGAAAAGCCAAATGGATGTTCTTCCCATGTCTACCACAGTATGCCCTGACTGCTTTGAGATGAAGCCCAGGGAATGAAAACATGATTTAAGTCACTTGTCATGGGTAGTGGCAATAAGACCATTATTTCAAAGCCACCAAGAAGGTCTTCATTTCTCCCACCACTACACCAAGTCATCTGTCTCAAGAAGTGGTAGCAGGTGGGAACTGATAACCATACACCAGGGCAGAAAGAAACTGTCTTTCACTGGCTCCATTCTTCCATCAAATTAAGAACTAAATGTTGGCCCTTGGGAGCACTCCCATGTAGATAGGGCCAACCTGAACAGATGGCAAAGTAACTGGAATTACTCAGCAGAGGGCTTCAGTCAATACTTACCATTGATTCATTCATGCATGGATGCAACTGTTGTCCTGTGACTCATCATTAAAAAAAAACCATCCAAAGCAGGGGAGTCAAATACGATTTCATCCTCACTTTCAGCACCTCATCTAGACTTTTTAAAACTAGGGACTAATTGCCAAGCTGAAGGTGAATAATATGGTGAGAGAATGATGGCTGAGATGTTTCTCCAAACTCTTTTTCCCAACAAGGATGCTGACTTACTTTAGCTCGGTCTGCCCACAGGGCTTCTTCCTTGACAAGTTGATCAGGTCCTTCCCATATCTCTCTTCTATAGAAGCCCTGAAACAGAGGAAGATGAAGATTGGCATATAGATTAGGGTCCTCCCCTAGGGAAGTACAGACCGCTGATCTATGGCTTCACCCCATCTGCAGAATGCCAAGATTTTGCCACTGAAATTCAGCTGAAAAATAGGCAATTTTCAGGGATGCATTTTTCCAAAAACTAAAGGGGGTGGGGAGAGAGCCCCCTGTGAAACCAGTTGCTCCTGTTTTTACCCTTAAAACCCCCAAATCCCCTTCTTAAAGAATGTGAAATTCTGCCACCTAAACTCAGCCATTTTGTAGATTCTGAGGACTTTTTCAGGGTGGGGATGACAGCAGTTGACTTCCAAGAGATTTGCTGTTCCCATTCTCACCTTTTCAAAACCCTCAAACAACAGTAATTATGAAAAAAGCAAACAAATTGACTCTATCACTTCCACAGTGCTGGCATCAATGGGAGCCATCCTACAGCTCTCTGGGAGAACAACCTGTGGCCTTCAACTTGGGGGAAGATGTTCCTCCTAACCTGGAAGCAACAGCTGATATCTTGCTTGCTCTATGGATATCACTGAGACATGCCATAATGCCACAGAGTCACAAGAAGGAACCTCCAATCAGCCATGAAGTGTTTTATAATTAAATTGGCCTTCTTAGCAGTGGCCCCGGAATTCTGAAATGCTCTTTCCGGGAAGCCCACCTTGTGCCTACTTTGTTATCTTTCTAGCACCATGGAAATAAATTTTCATTCCTCCAGGCCTTTTCATGTATTATTATATGAAATATCATCCTTTTCATCTCTTAGCTGTTCTTGGCTGACCCCAGGAACTAAGCAGGATTGGTTCTGGGTAGTGCTTGGATGGGAAACCACTGGTGGATTTCAAGGCTGGGAAACTGAAAAAAAAATCTGAAGGAAGGAAACATGAAATCACTTCCACTCCACTGCTTGGAAAACTGCATAGAACTGACCTTGGTCAAGAGTGTCAAAATCTTTTAATTAATCTTGCCAGCTCTCTGTATCTATATTTTTTTAGATTATGTGTAATTTATGAAATCACTGTGTTTCATTTAAAACATATGTAGAAGGAAACAGAGATGGAAAGAAGGGAATGCGCCAAGGAAGGTAGAAAGAAAACATCAGTCCTGCACTGAGAACAATATATTAAAGCTCAAAGCATATCTGGTCCTAAGTCACCTCTGGATCAGCTGAAATAACTAATTAAAGTATCTTGGTGCTTTTCATATATTTGGGCCTACAACTGATGGAATCTTTTATTATTGATCCTGTTGACTGAAGCTGATATAAACTGAAGAATCTGACCTACGTAATAGAGCAATGGTTGGTAATCTGGATGTACATTTAAGAATTATTCTTCAAGTCCCTCTGATTAACTTTTCTTTCCTTCATTTGAAAAGTTCACGGGGTCACCTTAAGTAGAAAGGAAGAGGCTTATGACTTGTAAACTGTCATAGAGTACAAAATGTCTGAGGGCCATGTTCATTTGGTCAACCCACAGTTTCTGGGTCAGCTTTCCCCAGTAGGGCACCTTCCACTAGTGTTAAGATTGCAACTTCCAGAATTCTCTGATAAAGATGGGAAGGTACCTGTCTCATTCTATGTCATCCTTGCCCCAGGTGATACCTTCTAGGTGTGTTGGGACAATATTTCCTAAGTTCCTCAGCCAGTTTTCTCCATAAGAAGAAAGAGGCGTCCTTTTTTCCCCAGCAACAAGACGTGGCCTTAATTCTTTATAAGAGGGAAAATAAGATAGAACAGCTTTCCTTCACAGCATCTTGAGCACCATAGAAAAATCCAGTAACTAAAGTTATTTATTTATTGTTTTATTTATTATTTTGGTCCTTAGCTCCCCAGAAGGACAACTAGATGTTAAGAAACTTGATAGAACAACAATAGCTGGAAATGAAAAGATTTTCTATCACAAAACGTCAGCTGATTAGAAGCTATGTCTTCTGCTATCCTATTCCAGACTCATGCCTTTTAGGTATACTGGAACTACAAAGTTCATGAGAAGGTTCAAGAACCTTTTACCATTCCAGGAAAAAAGACATATGCACCTTTCTCTCAAAAAGTCTTCAAATTCTTTGCAGTTCTTCCTGCCGTCATTCAAGTGCTGAACAATGCTGTCATAGCCGGCTGTACTGATCAAGTCTGTTGTCTAAAAAGAATGTTTAGAAGTTTGTTAGACAAATGAAATGCAATCCATTCTCCATGTTGGCATCCCTAGGTTACATTTTGGTTTTGAAGGCACAGTCATGTTCCTGGAAATTCCTCACCTTTATACCAAAATGAAAAGCCTTTCTGGACCTAGTTATATTTCCAGCACTCCTGGAATGAGTTGCCTCCACTAAAGTTGGAAGTGGTTGCAATTTATTTCCTATCCTTGCTAAGAGACTGACTAGGGAAGGGCTGTGAAAGGCTGAGAAATTAAACCCCACTCCAAAAAATCATCCAGAAGTCCAAGTTGAACAAAGACTTCTTAGAATTCCACACCTGAACAAGATAAAATGTCTCTTCCTGATGAGCCCAGAAGAGACCTTGCTTTTACTCCTTCTATTCAGAAGACACAGGAGTGCAGTCATTCCTGGCTTCATAAGAGTAACTAGTGTTTCCTTTCAGGCCTGCTTTTAAGCCTTGGAATTACGATCTGCACTAACTTTCCTTACTGACATGCTGTGGTAAGTTCACCCCCAACTACTATCACTCCAACAGCTGCTAGAGCAGTGTTTTTCAAAGTTGGCCACTTTAAGCTGTATGGACTCCAACTCCCAAAATTCCCCAGCCAGCATGGGGAATTCTAGGAGTTGGTGTCCACACATCTTAAAGTGGCCAACTTTGAAAAACACTGTGCTAGAGGCACAGGATGCAATAAAGTCATTAAAGTAAGTTCAGCTAAGTTTCTCCACTGACACCATAAGTTTCTCATTAGGACTTTTTCCTAATACTATATATCACTCTTTCCCCATCAGTCATCCTCCAGATATTGTAACTTAGAGTGCCACTTCCATAATTCCCTGTCAACATGGGAGTTGTAGTCCACAACTTCTAAAATAACTTTATTAACTAAAAAAAAGAACAGTAAAAACTAACATTAAGAAAAAGCATAAGAAAAAGAAAAAAGAAATTAGAAAAAAAGAGAATAGCAAAGATCAAGAGTGCAGAAACAAAGAAAAGGAAAAAGAAATAAAAAGGGTTGACTTCCGACCCTCCTTGCAACAGATATAAGTAACAATATACATTAAGATATTAATATACAGTAGTCTGATACATCTGGAAGAACAAGTTGGGGAAAGCTGATACAGGGCAACGATGAGGAAATTAAAGCCAGTTCTTATACGAGACCAATTCAGTATCTACCAAAGCAAGAATCAGAAGAAAGGAATAAGAAAAGTGGAGACTACTTCACAGAGGACCATAGCCCAGATCTTGGAGAAACTATGCAGAAATGGTTAGAAAAGCAAAAGCTTTAAGCCCAGGAAACAGAGAAAGCGTAAGAAAGAAGCTCAGACTGGCTCCACCATAATTCACTAGGGAACTGTTTTTCAACCTCAGGAACTTTAAGATGTGTAGACTTCCTTTTTTTATAGTAATTTTATTAAAAATTACAATTAAAAAGATAAAAACAAATGCAAACCAAAAAAAGAAAAGAATAAAAAGAGAAAATAGAAAGTGTAGAAAAGAAAAAGAAAGAAAAAGAGACAAGAAAAAAAATAAGAATGTAGTAAAGAAAAGAAATATATAAAGAAATGACTTCCCCTTCATCAAACAATGTAAACCATTTTAGTAACTTATCCCCTTCTCTTAAAATACAACAAATGCTCTCTTCATCCCATAACCCATCTCTTATCTATAAACAAATCATTAAAGCCTCCTCATGTCAGTCCTGATATCAGCAAAAGTCCATTAAGGGTTATCAGAGATACCAACATATCTATTTCAACCTTGATCAGATAAACTGATTTTATATTCCTTCCTTTTACTTTTAACAACCTCGATCTTTAGTCCCTTCAAATAATGTCCTAGAACTTCATTTCTTTTCTGAAAAGAAATGAAAATATGTGTAGACGTTCACACATCTTAAAGTTGTTGAGGCTGAGAAACTCTGCACTAGGGTCTAAGAAGCAGGGAGAGAAAACACTGTCAGACTTCCCAGATTCTGCTACTACAACCTCTCTGTATAAAGTGGAATTCCACTAATTCTTGTGGAATCTGCCTCCTGACCTGGGCTACCTCAAAGGGCTGACAAAATCCCAGATCAACATCCCTGGCATAAGTTTGCCTTGTTGAGGGAAGTTAAAATCAGAGAGAAACCAAGAAGGGATCCCTGGAGGACTTTTCCAAAAGGCAGTATTTACAGTAGCGTGCTAGCCAAACTTATCTCCATCATGAGCAGTAGAAGGCATCTGCCTGGATCAAAAAGGTTTGGAGTGATGAGACCACCCAGCTATATCTCATGACAGCAAATCCTGAAGAGCTAATATTTTATTCCTGAGAAATCTACTTTTTACTAATGCTTTTTTCTTTGACAAACTTCAGTGCTGAGGTTTTAATTATAGCTTTATTATTCTATTTGTGTTATAGTGGTAGGCAACTCAATTGCTATCCTTGATAGAAAAGCAAGATGTAAATTTGATTATTAAGATTGCAAGTTTCTTCTTCCTAGTCAGGAAAAGGTGGTTACAAGTCATCTTAGGCAGAATGCAGTTTGCACAAGGCCTGTGACATCAGGCAGAAAAAGATCACTTCTTCCACATAGCATAGGAATCCCCATTTTTCTTCTGGAGGAAGTATACATTTTTAAAAAGTACATTTTGAATCTTATACAAAAGGATATGTATACAGTATATTTCCAAGCAATTTTCTGTCTGCTTGATAGAATTTGTTGATTTGTTCCTGCCTGCATGTTCTAGCGAAAACATATAAAAATTAGTTGACAAGCTACCAGGCAATTCTATTCTTTCTCTCTTCAGATTAAAATTTTGCTAAAACGTAATGTCACTGAACAACACAGAATGAGTGTTTTAGACTCTGACTTAGAATCCCACCCTACTAACTCAGCATTTTAAAAAAGGCACTGACATAACTTCTTCAGTTCCTACATCAAACTTTTTTCCTGGAATATCATAACGAAAGGAACAAGTAACTGAATAAATTCTTGCTCTGCATCTGGAGAGTATCAGTTCCTCACAGAGTCCCCATGACAGGATGAAATCTCTCTCTTATGTACTTTGTCCAACATTAACCATATGAACAGAGCTGTCTCTACCATCTGATAAGGTAAAACACTCTTCCAGGATATGTAATTTTGTCTTCAAGGCCAGCAAATTGTTGCAAGTTTAATTCATTATTCTTATACTAAATCTGGAGGGTTTGCCACAAGAAGGAATCTCAATCATTCATAGCCCCCCATAGAGCCCCCACCAAGTCTACAAGAAGTTCACATATTGGAGCATGTCACTTTCACATGATTAATGTGCCACTTGAAATCCCAACTGCACTGAATTAACAGATTGTGGAGGAAAGGCATGCTGGTCTGCAAATACCAGCACTGGAGCGTTGTGATACCTACATACCAGGGCTAAGTTCCTTTCTCAGCCTAGATGCCAACCAAAATCTCAGAAGATCATCACATTTTGCGAGATTTCAGTAGCTTCCTCATCCCGTGATCTTATACAAGAAGGCTGAAATCTCAAGAGGTGTTGTAATGGGAAGAAGGAATAACCATGAGGAACAGGAGGAAGAGCAGCAACCAAGACAACAGTCAGATAAAAGAAATCTCAGTCCAGGGCAGAAATGTAGTTTGAGAAAGTGTCTCAGACATGACCCATTTTTATATCTCCATACATCAACCTCCAAATTGTCCATTAAATCAAAGAAAACCTTTGGTAGTTTGCCTTGTGTATTTTTCATGTTTTTCTCAGAAATTCTGTTTTTTTGTGGGAAAACCACCCCATTCCAATCTCCCAGGAGACACCAATTTTCATATGGAAAGTCCAATAGTTTATCCACAAGTCCTTTATAAAATGCTGTTTTATCTTCATTTGGGGCATAAATTCCCAATATTAAAGTCTTAGCCCACTGTTGATTAACTTCTACCCCAACATATCTTCCATAATCTTCAGTCAATATAAATTTTGGATATAGTTGAGAATTTATATACAAAACAACTCCATTTCTTTTTTTCATTCCTGCTGAAATAAATTCTTCATCCAAATTTTTGTGACTCAAATCTTTTATATCCTTTTTCCTGATACGTGTTTCTTGTAAGCAAATCACATTTTGTTTTAACTTTTTCAAATAATGATTTTTTTCCCTCTTTTGAAAAGCATTTGCGCCATTTATATTCCACGTTAAGCATTTATAATCCATAGTTACGCCAAGATTTTAGAAAAATCAATACCTGTAGCGCCCAATGTGGTAGCATCTTCAGTGTCCGGTTGTATCTGTTGTGGCATTTGTTTAGTCACATCTGTCACTGTCACTTCCATTTGCATTTCCTCCCATTCTTCTTTGAATTTTCCCCAAAAATCTCTTGCTTTCTGCACAGAGTTCAGTCTGGATCTCTGCTGTTTAAAAGTCAAATCATCCCTTCCAACTTATCCCATCTAAATGGAATCCTTTTCTGTTTGAGTTTGTCAGAAAAAAAGACTCTTTTCTCTTGCACAGTATTCTAACTGGAATTTCCTTAAGTACAATTACATCAGTATTATTAATCCTCAATCTAGTACTAAAATTCCTGACAAAGTGCACAAGGACATCCTTGGAGTATTTCTTAATTTTGCAAATCGTGTATTGAACTGGCTTTGATTCAACCCTCACAAGACAGAGTGGCTCTGGGTTTTTGGCCCACCAGATCCCAGGTGATGTTTCATTTCTGATTCTGGACGGGGTGGCACTCCCCCAGACTGAGCTGGTGAGCAATTTGGGAGTCCTCCTAGACTCACAGCTCCTACTCAAGGAGCAGGTGGCAGCCATGACTAGGGAGGGCCTTCGCACAGATTTGTCTGGTGCACCAATTGCACCCCTTCCTGGACCAGGAGGCCTTGCTCACAGTCACTCATGCCTTGGTCACTTCCCGTTTGGATTACTGCAACGTGCTCTACATGGGGCTGCCCTTGAAGACCACCCGGAAGCTACAACTGGTCCAGAATGCAGCAGCAC